TTTTTTTTTTTTTTTTTTTTTTATTATTTGTTTTTTTTTTTTTAAATATCATATTCAAAATTACAATAACCACTCATATTATTATTTGAATTTAATAAATTACTTTTAAGTCATATATATATATATATATATATATATATATATATATATATATATAATTTTCTAAATATGTTAATTATACTATATTTTATCTTTTTCTTTTTTTTTTTTTTCAATTTTGATTTACGTTTTGTTTTTGGTTTGAATTAGATTGAAATTTATATAATGGAATAAATTTTTCATAAGTTTTTGGTTTTAAATTTGCATATGGTTTACCATGATTAAAAAGCCAAGTATCATAATCCATATAAATTTTTACTAATAATTGTTCTATTAATTTTTTTGCTAAAACGTAATGATCATATTTTTGACAAGATACACATAAATGTAAAGATTCATTAGCCTCTTTTTTTTCTTCTCCTTCTAAATATCCTGAGCCTCTTCCTCTTAATCTCAACTTGCAATCAGCATCAATGCAAATTTTTTTCATGTTAGTTCCTTTTAATCCAATTATTCTTTTCGCTATATCAAAACCATTATATGGATCAATTTGAACTTCATATTTAGCTGTGTATTTTTTTATAACCAAAAAATTATCTGATATCTCATTTGGTAAATAATGATTTTTTATAAAATTATAATTTTTATTATTACTATTCTGTTTTTCTATAATTTTATTATCATTAGATAATTTTTCTTTTTCTTCATAAAACGAAAGATTTTTATTTTCATTAATATTATTATTAGATGTTTTATATTTATTATTAATTTTTTCTTTATTTTTTATAGGATCATAAATTATACTATTATTTGATAATTTCATATCATATTTAATTTTATCATACACTTTTAATCTCTCAATTATACTATTGTTATCATCATTTAATCTGTTAGAACATTTTATATTATTATCAAAAGTTTTAGAATTATTTATATAATTAGAAATGTTAGTATTTTTTAATCTTAAATGTAAGTTATTCAAATTCTGTGAATCAATTATAGTAGTATCAGATGCGCACCTTGTAGACGCACTTTTAGCATAATTATAATCATTTATTTTTAATATATTTACTTTATCATTTTTATTATTATTATTACTATTACTATTATTATTACTATTATTATTATTATTATTACTACTATTACTATTACTATTATTATTATTATTATTATTATTATTATTACTATTATTATTATTATTATTGTTATTATTAATGTTATTATTATTATTATTATTAATATTATTATTATTAGTATTATTATTATTATTATTGTTATTATTATTATTATTAATGTTATTATTTGATTTTTTAACTTTCATCTCATAATTATTAGAGACATTTAAATCATTACTACTTCTTAAATTTTGTTGTTTCGTTTTATTTTTCTCATTTTCCATTAAAATGTTATAATTCATAAAATTTAATGAATTATAATTATAAAAATTATTATTAATATTATTATTATTTATGTTATATATTTTTTTTGATCTCAATGAACTTAAGTTGTTTTCAATATCATTGTTTACTTTTTCTTTTAATCTAGGATTTTTTATATTTAAATTACTTTCAAAAGATTCCATACAATTATTTGATGATTTATAAAAGGCTACAATTTTTTTGTTATTATTTATATCCTTTTTTATATTGATGTTTTTTGTTGCATTCATTGAATAACTATTTATATCAATATTTAAATTGTTAATATTATTATTGTTATTGTTATTTTTTTTTAAAATATTCCTTATACTATCATTATTAATAATATTATTACTACTACTACTACTATTATGATGATTAGTATTATTATTATTATTACTGCTACTACTACTATTATTATAATTATTATTATTGTTATTATTGCTACTATTATTATTGCTACTATTATTATTGCTACTATTATTATTGCTACTATTATTATTATTATTATTATTATTATGATTATTATTATTATTATTATTATGATTATTAATATTATTATTATTATTATTATTATTATTGTTATTATGATTATTATTATTATTACTACTATTATTATCAGATAAAACTTCATTTAAAAAATAATTAACAGAATTAGAATTTTTATTACTAGAAATTTTCGATTTTTCATTATTAGTTCCTTTTATTTGAGTTTTTGATTTTCCATTGTTATTCATAATAAGCAAATTCATCATTTTTTCATCTAGTTTTTTTTTTAGAGATGATTCATTTTTTTTATTTATTGAATTACTTAAATAATTTTTTACAATCCTTGTATTGTTTAAAGAGGCATTATTATTATTTATCACATTATTTAATAAGTCATTCCCTTTATTGTTTTCTAAAGAATTATATAAATTTTTTTCATGTATATCATTAATTTTATTCACTTTTATTTTATGTTTAAAATTTGATAAAAGAGACATATCACAATTTATTAAATCAAAATTATCATCTCCATCTGCATCATTATTTGTATGATTAGCATTTTCGTCATCATTAATAATTTCATTTCTATTTACATTTCTAGATATATTATATTCATTTAAAAAATTGTTTGCATTGTTATATATATCTTCATTTAAATTCTTATTTTGCTCATTATCATCATCATCATCATTATCATTATTCATTTTTAAATTATTATATTGTTTATTATATACATAATTACCTATATTTGTGTTTTCATTTATATCTAAAAATAAAATGTTATCATTTCTTATCTCAGTTTCCTTAGAATTTGTTATGTTTTTATTTTCCTTTAATAAAGGATTTTCACACAATTTATGCAAAATATCTAGATTTTCATTTTTTATATTACTATAATAATTCATATTTTCTTTATAATTATTATAATCTTTCAAAAAAGTATTTTCTACAGATTTACTTAATTTATTTATTAACTCTATATTATTCATAGTATTAGTATAATCATTTAATAATTTTTTTTTAAAATTATTGTCCAAATTCTTTACATTATTCATAAAACACCTTTCTATATTTGCTTCTGTGTTCTTATTTAAATGTAAAGATGCTTCATCATTTAAAATGTATTCGCGTTTGTTATTATATGTTTCATTTTTTCTACATTTATCATATAAATATCCAGAATTTATATGATCATTGTTATTGTTATAACTTTTATTTAAATTAACCATATTAAAAGAATCAATAATATTAATATCTTTATTTTCATGTTTCATATCATTTATAATAGAGTTTTGATAATCATTTACATGATAATTAATGCTATTTGAACAGTAATTTTGTTTATCATTTATATTATTTTTATCTAATTTATTTTTAGTATGCATATCTTCATTTTTTATATCATTCAAAGAATTATAAAAATTCGAATATTCAATATTCTCTTTTTTATTCATAAATACACTTACATTGTTTACATCGGTAATATTAATATGGTTAATATTTCTTTCGTTATCATACATTTTATCATTATGAACATTATTAGTATCATTAATAACATTATTTTTATTAATGTCACCTATATTGTTATTATTAGCATCGTTAATTTTATTAACATTTATTATCCAATTAACATTATTAATATTGTTCGTATTATTATTCATATCAAAGTTATAAATGTTTTTATTAACATTATCATTTGTTTTCTTATTGTAACCAGTAGAAGCATTCAAATTTCTAACATTATTAATATCAGATATATTCACATTTTTATTATCAAAAATATTATTTGCTATATGGTTATAATAATCTTCGTTATTTATAACTGATGTATTATTTGTTGTAATGTTACTATTCATGTTACTTTTATAATATAAATTCATATAATTTTTTTGATCGTTTAAATAATTTTTTTCAAGAAAATTTTTTATATATTTCATAAATGAGTCAGTGTTTTTATTTATATTATAACAATTATTGTTAAAGTTATTCTCCATTTTACTTATATTTTTATCTAATAAATTATCCATTTCATTCATACATTTATATGTATCACTATTAAAATCATTCACTTGATTTCCATTACTATTATTCATATCAATAATTTTACTATTGGAAGATAAATTATTATAACTTAACTCATCACTATTTAAAAATAAACTGAAATTATTATTTACCACATTATTATTTTCATCATAATTTATATTATTCCCTACACTTTCATTTCTTACATTTTCTTTTAAATAATTTGTTTCTAATATTAATTTAATTGCATTATCATCACTATAATTTATATTATATTCATAATTACTTTCATTATTATTATTATTTTCATTATTATTATTATTTTCATCATTATTATTATCATCATTATTATTATCATTATTATTATTATTATTATTATTATTATTATTATTATTATTATTATTATTATTATCATTATTATTATTATTGTTATTATTATTATTACTACTATTTTTATTATTATTATTATTTTCATTATTATTATTGCTATTTTCATTATTATTATTATTATTATTTGCATTATCATTTTTAGCATTATTCTCGTAATAATAGTTATTATATTCAATATTTCTAAAATTATTATTATCAGAATTACTGTTATTAATATTATTATTTCTATAAGATTTTGAATGAGTATCATCACATTTAAAATAACCATTATTTAAAATATTTTTATGACCCATATGGTTTTGTTTTCTACATATATTATCATTTATGTCATTAGTGTTATTTAAAGAATTATATACAATATTAACGTCTTTAAAATTTTCTTGTTTATTTTTGCTTATAATTTCCTTTAGAACATCACATGTATCACTATTTGATTCGATAATATTTTTACTTCTATCAATTGATACATTGCTTGAATGTAATCCTAAAATATTATTATTATTATTAATAATGTTTTCATTGGTATTATCATTTAATCTATAAAAAAATTTATTTCTATCATTACTATTGTAAGTTATATTATAAATATCTTTATTTTCATTAAAATTATTGTTTTCAATAAAATTATCACTTTCATTATTATTTAAATTATTATTTTCATCATAATTTTCTCCTCTTTCTTCATTGCAATCAATTGAATTACTTACTAATTTATTATCATAATTAATATTTCCATTATTTTCAAAATTTCTGCTTGTTTTTACATAATTTGAATCACAATTTGAAGAAATTTTAAAATTTTCATTCCTTCCATGTATATTATTTTTCTTCATTTTCAAATTATCATCAAAATTATTATATATTATTTTATTGAAGTCATCATATTTTTTAATATTTGCATTTTCATTTCTACTTATTTTATATTCTAAATTTAATAAATCATTACTATATTTATTTAAATTGCATGCAAAATCATCCATATATTTTTCGTTTTTACTACTACTAAAAGAAATACTATAATTTTTAGAATTTTCCTTAGAATTATTCAAATTCTGAATATTTAAATCATTATTACTACTTTTTAAAATATGTTCATGATTAAATTCTTTATTAATAAAGTTGTCTTTCTCTTGTCCTTCATAATTACTTTCATTTTTAGACATTTTTTCAAACGCTTTTCGTCTGCATAAATTATAATCCTCTTGTCTTATATTTTCTACATGATACAAATTTTTCTTTTCATTTTCATCATCTTCATTTATTATATTTAAATTAACATTCATTTTATCCACACTGTTATTATTATTTTTATTTCCATTATTACAAATATTTTTGTAATTATCTAAATAATCTAAAACAGAAAAAGTATATTCCTTTAAAAAATTAAATTCTTTTTCATCATTATTTCGAAAATTTATATAATTATCTTTATTTTCTGCATTTAATACATCTGCATTACTTTTAAGAACATCATAGTCATTTATATTATTCTCGTATTGTAAGAAAGGTGATTTTTTAACAACATTATTATTTACATAATTATTCTTGCAATTTATATTATTTTCTATATGTTTAGATGAAATTTCAAATTTATTTACATCTATACATGAAGGATTTATTAATTCCTTCACATTTTTTTCTTTTATATTATTATAATTATTAATATAATAATTTCTTTCAAGATTATTATTATTATTATTACCTTCTGATTCACCGTTATAAGAAAAATTATTTAACTTATGAGAATTATTGAAAGATTTAATTACTTTTATATTTGTTGATGATGGATAAGTATTATTAATACTATTGGATTTAATTTGATCGTTTAAATCAATTTCTTTCTTATTATCATAATTCTCCTTGGAATTATAAGTATTAAATTCATTAGAATCACTACAATATATTTTCATATTTACATTATCATTTGTATTACACATATTATTTTTATCTTCATTTATTTGATCCTTTAAAACTTTATTTACTTCCTCATTTATATTATAATTTGCTGAATTTTTAGGAATATTATTATAAATAAAGTTCCCTTTATATAAGTTTGTATCATTTAAAGAATAAGATAAAATTTCATTGAAATTACTGCCATCATTAACATTAAAATTATTAATATTTTCACTATTAGGATTCAAAATACTATTGCTATTATTGATATGAATATTGTTATGAATATTGATTTGATCATTATTGTTATTCATATTAATATTACTTTTATTATCCTCATTACTAAAATTATTATTATTATTATCATTATAAAAGTTATTACTATTATTATCTTTATTATTATTACTATTATTATTATTTTCATTATTATTATTATTTTCATTATTATTACTATTATTGTTATTCTCCTTATTATTATTAAAGCTATTTTCATTATTATTACTATTATTGTTATTTTCATTATTATTATCATCATTAATGATATTACTAAAAGTTTGTTCTTGTTTTTCATCACTAGAATTACTAAAACCATTTAAATTAATATTACTATCTACAACCTTCTTAGAATTATTATTTTTATTTTTACTTAAATTATTATTTTTTTTTTTATTATTCTTTTGGAATTTCTTACTTTGGATAACAGTTAAATCTGAATTATTTGTAACATTTGTATCATTATATATAACATTATAATTAGTGATTTTATTAAAACAAATATTCTTACCACTATAATTATTTCCATTTATACAATCATTCTTATCATTATACATATTACTAATGTTGTTAATGTAATTTTCACTATTATTATCATGATAATTGTTGTTGCTCTTTTCAGTATTATCTACATTGTTATTATAATTCTTATCGGTAATATCAGATTTTTTTGTGTTATAATTGTCTTCTTCAGTTAACATTTTTAAGCCATTATTATCTATACTTTTATCCACAAAATTATTATAATTATTTTGTAAAATTTTTTTTTTCTCATTTATTACATTCCTATTATTTCCTTTTTCTTGATTATTTGAGATCTGATTTAGATTCATATTTTTATTCTCTACTGTGCATAATTTAGCTTTCTTTTCTATACATTTCTTTTGGTGTAATTTATCTTGTAAAATATTATTTTCAGTATTCATGTAATTATTAACATTTTCATTGGGTATATTTTTTATTTTTGCATTATAAAAGTGTGATTTTTCAGATTCATGTAATGATTGGTTATTTTCCATCTTACTAAAATTTATAACATGAAAAAAAAAAAAAAAAATATATATATATAAATATATATATATATATATATATATATATATATATATTAGCACATACAAATAAATATATAGAATAAATAAAAATACTTATTTTCCATTAAAAATTAAACAAAAGTTAAGAATTAAGATAAAAAAAAGAAACTATATTGTTTCCAATAATTATATTTTCTTTTTAATTTTTCTTTTTGGTTACTTTAATTATTTACTCAATTTTTTATTTTTTAATTATTTATACAAAAAAATTTATGTTTTTAAATTATTTTATAAATTTAAAATATATTTTTAAAACATGTAATTTAATTATAACTTAATAGTTTTTTTTTTTTATTAAATTCATAATACAAAATAATAAATTTACGGTTAAATAAAGGAATGAATATTTTTCATTTTTTTTAATTTAAATTAAATTTATTCTAAGATGCCAATATAAATTTTGTACTCATACACTTATAAATCAATTTATTTTTAAATATATTAGAACCCTTACATATCTTAATCTTTTTATTTTTATTTTTCCTTTAATTAAATATAATTGTAATTTATTTTAAATATATCATATATATATATATATATATATATATATATATATATATATATAGTTATGGAAAGAAAAAATAAGAAAGTGTAATAAAAAATATAGTTTAATGAAAATATCAATAAATAAATAATCAATTTATTTAAAATTAAAAAACGAAAAAAAAAAAAAAAGAAAAGAAAAGAAAGAAAAAATCATAAAATTCACAAAAGAACTTTCAAAAACAAAAAAGTTATCCCTAAAAATAAAAGAATATAATTCTAATATGTGAAATATTACTTAAATGCAATATTTTTATGTATAAAAATAAATTAGACTTAATATATTTTTTTAATCTTTTACTATATACAATTATTCATAAATATATATATATATATATTTAAGAGTTTAAATTCTCCTTTTTTTTTTTTTTTTTTTTTTAAATTATTAAATAAGATTAAAATATTATTTTAAAATTATATTTTATTTATATTTATGTCATTGTTAATATTTTAGTTTATCATAAGTATTTATGACATAAAAATTTGTAATAAATTTTATGATTCTTTTTATGTGCAAAAACTAAAAATATATTAAAAAAAAGAAAAAAAAAAAAAAAAAAAAAAAAATATTTTTAAATATTTTTTACAATTAATATATTAAATAACAAGTTGAAATACACAAAATAAAAATGGGAGAAAAATAGACAAATGTTAATATATCATCAGACATGTATATGCGAGATGATTATAAATATATATATATACTAGAAGAACATGAATTTCTACAATAACATAAATATCATTTTGAAAATCTTTAGATATTCTATTTATAAATTATTTTTATATTTTTATAATTTTTAATAATATAAATAAAAGAACAAAATGCGATAATTTACAATAAATTATTACATTTATTCAAAAAAAAGTTTTGACATACAAACTTTTTCTCCCAATATATTATATCTATATATTTATAAATTAATTTAAATAGAAATATTATTTTAAAAAAGGATAGAAAAAAAAAAAAAATAAAATAAAATAATAATAATAAAAATAGCAAACATTAATGAGTATGCTTTGCATATTACATATAAAATATAAATTTAATTGCAACAATATTTTTTCTCTTTTTTTAATATACAATTGACAAAAGCTGTAAAAATATATAAATGGAATATATAATAAATAAAGAAATGTGTTAAGTTTTATTATATATATATATATACATATATATATATTTATATATGAAAAAAAAATTTACGTTTTTTATTTTTGCAAATTTTAAAGAAATACCTTTATATAATATAGAAAAAAATATATTTAAAAAAAAAAAAAAAAAAAAAAA